TACGCCTTTATCCGCTCCCGAGAAAAACAATCGATTAAATCGTCACCGGGGCGGCGCGGCGCGGCGCCGATAAATCCGCAAAGGCCCTTTTTCCCCTCTATTATCGCGCGACTTCCTTTCCATACATCAGGCAGCCGTCTGCCCTTCGCCCGCAGGATCGCGCCACGCCGGCAGCTTTGTGCCGTACTTTTTACGTTTGATCCACCCTCCCCCACCCCCACTTCCCCCCCTCCCTCTGGGTGCCCACTCCCTCCTCCTGGTCTGGCTGACCTCACCTCACGGTGTACCCCTGTACGGATGGCAACCCCTACTCGCCTCTCTATATCGTCCCTTTCGCTTCCTCCCCCGTGCCATTCCGCACTCTCGACTCTCCGGACCTCACTCCTCTCTTACTTCGTCCTTTCCGCGCGGAGAGTCAACGCGGATGCGAAGGGGAAATTCAGAGAGAGAGATTTTTTTATAGTCTCTGTTTCCCTCGAAAAACGATCGACGAATGAATGGGAGTTAAATTGATAAATATATATGATCACAATCCCTTGATCTGTTTTATGGGTGGATTTTTCTTAACGAGAAGTCAATAAGTAATCATTTTTTTTTGCAAAATATAACATAAAATATAATGTACTTGCAAAATAAATACGCTTCTGACGTGTGACTGTACCGTTTGATAAAAAATTATCAAAAAGTGCGCAATTAGAAAAAAAATTCTTAACATTTAAACGTCGTAGTATTTAAATACGTAAGAATAAGAAACGAGTTAGTTTCGTTTATGTTATATGTACGTGTAAAAATGCGAACAAAGAAAAAATCTTTCAGTATGTCCCTCGTGTGAAATATAAATCCCTCTTTTCTTCTCCTCCGCGAATTCTGGACTTCTCCCTTTCTGTTCTGCTCTTTCTGCGCTATTCCGGACATAGAATCGACGAGCGCACGAGAGGGAGTCCTAAAGAGAGAGTCGGGTACATGAGTAAGTGAGAAAGAGAGAGAGAGAAAGAGAGAAAGAGAGAGATTGAGGGGGTGAGCACTCGTGGCCAGGCTGGAGAAGGGCGGAGGAGAAGGGGAGGAGGGAGTCGGCAAGAGTGAGTGAGCTGAGGGGTAGTTCTGAGGCCGACGTCATAATCGATCGTCTTTTATTAAACTGCACCAGATGGCGCCACCACCGCACTAGGCACAGCGCGGATGGCACAGGGGGTTGAGTTGAAAGAGCGGCCGGGGGGAACAGGGGGAGGGGGAGGGTGGGACGGAGCACGAGGGGACGGGGTTGAAGCACGAGGAGGGTGCACGAGGGTAGGCGGAAGTAAGGGCGGGCGCGTGGGTGCGAGGAATGGGGCAGGGAGTTAAACGGAGGAGGATTTCCAGCCCGGGGTTCCTCCAGGAGGGATGGAGAAAGGGTGGAAGACAGGAAGAGAGAGCGAGAGAGGTCGCAGCCAATCGTTTAACGATTACCCACTCGCGCACTCTATATAACGCCTTTCGGATGTCGTCGTTATGCTTGATCCTCGCGACTATAGCGATATTTGAATGATCCCAGGGTGGACAACCGATCGGCTCGGCAGTTTAGGAGATAATCGGGGATGAACGATCGGTCCTCTCCGACGTGTCATCCAAGTCTCCAAGATCTAACGCTCCAATTAAAATTTTTGTACTATCACGACGGATGTAATTAAGAGGGTATGGAATAATCAAGATTGAGAATTACAGGAGTCAATTTTGATTAAGAAATGAATGGGATGATCACGTACGACGTTTATCAATATTTTATTTTTCGACAGTCGATAGTTTATAAATGGCTTTTTTTGACCATTTCGTTACGTTTGTCAAATAAATAAATTTTCATTTTTAATTACACGAACTAATATTATATGAATTATTCAGCTCATTATATAAGTGAATTTTTCGATGGTACGTTCGCTTTGATTAAATGTATAAAACGCAATTTGAAATTAATTTTCATTATTTAAATTAAAAAAATTTTTTTTGTACTATCAATTTAGGAATATTCATTCATTGAAGTGCTGAAGTTTTGTACAACTATGCTACGAATTATAGCTATCGCACACTTCTTACAAGTGACGAAGAAGATATTGAAATCGACACGCTGCTCGCTCGCAGTTGGATTTTCTGAGGAAGCGTGCTTGAAACTCGAGTTGAGTGGTGGGGAGATCTTTTCAGAATCGCATATATACACGACGAATTTGACAGCTATACATCGATGAGTCGGGAAAGAACAGAATACAAGCAAAAAAGAAATTGAAAATTTTAAATGTTTAGTAATAAGTCGCGGACTACACAAATCATTGCAAACGAGTCATTATGCGGAACAGAAGAGATATTAAATTCAGCTATTATAGGAACAAAATGAAATTATGAGAGAAGGAGAGATCGCACTCTAAAATTCCAAACAATAAAACAACACAAATCTATTCTACGTGATAATTAAATCTAAAAAGTACATGAGCTATATTTTGTAGATAAAAAGCGCTATGAAATGCAAAAGTTTTCAACCTAATTGAAACATAAAAAAAGATTGAAATGCCACTCGTTGATAGAAGCAGCTAGATAAAATTTAGGATGTAAAAGAAGACTTCGAGATTCTTTCTCTCTTTCTAATTATTTATTAATTTTTATTTTGATGCATATATCTATATGTTCCATAAAAATTTTCTTTTTTTTGGAGGAGGGGAGGGGAGGAAAATCTCTCTTTCAGCCTTGATGTACCATTAGAATTGAATTTTCCGAAATAATAATTTGAATATTTATCCTTTATTTTAATTATCGTGTCTTTTTCTTCTAAACAACAATGTGAACGAGGAACCACTTCAATCCACCAATTTCGTCATTCGGATGCCGCAGACGAGTGGCATAAACTGGCAACTCGCATATACACACACCGTGGGGAAACCGCGCGCAGGGCTTAACTTCCGATCTTCTCTCGCACCCTCGGCCCTCCCGCCCCCTTCCGCCCCGCTTCCCTCTTTCTCTCTCTCTTTCTTTTCGTTTTGCGTTTACCGAGAGACGGCGGTGATTGATTGTCCCGTCAGCGGCAGGCAGGCCGGGAACTAACAAAAGTAACAAAGCACCTCCGTCCTGAGAGAACGCTACCACCGCCGCCCGCCGCCACCGCCGCTACCGCGCGCTTTTCGGCGAAGTTGAATTGCTCGCCGCTTTACCGATTCCGTCGCCCTGTCCGATTTCATCCCCGCGTGCTTAATCTCGCTCCCCGACGCGCGACTCTGCCGCGAGACGGTAGGGAAAACTCGCGACCTCGGTGGTTGTGTTGAAATTCCGTCGCGCATTTTTACTCCTTTGCCTGTCGAATTTAGAAGTACCGTGGATGATACGATTAAAATTCTCGCACCCCTATATCGATTTAGTCGAGGAACCCTTCGTCTGTTCCCGTCGAGAAGGGGGCCAATTTCATAATTTTATTTACTATTCACTATTCATTATGAGTATTACACTTGATTTTACTGTGTAATTCTTAAGAACAGGTAGAGTTACTTGCTGTTGCGGAGAGATCACTTTGCGTTATAACAAAAAGGAGATTCCAGAAATAAACTAACATTTAAGAAAAGAAAAAATACGCGCTTTAATTTCAACGTCTGCGAGAAATTCATTGTCTATATTCATTGTTTTCTTAAACATCGGACAATTCTAAATTCTCTTTTCAGGAAGTTACCTTTTGCGGGGTGCCGTTGTATCGTTTAAGGATAATTTAACGTGCAATCGCAACGTGGCAAGGTTTCAAAGCGTATAGGTATTTGGCAAATGCATTAATTACCACCTTTAGACAGGAAGGGGTTAAATATTCTAAAACTCTACACGCGTCGCTTACGTGAATATATACCCTACATGTACACATACACGTGCCCACGTATGTACATACGCGCACGATCCTGGAGGTAGTAAACGGTCAGTAAACGGTGTACAATCTCTCGTGTGGGTAACACCCTAGAGCTAAAGAGTGTATTAGCGCGTCAGATCGTTAGGGTCTACATGGTGTCAAGCGCATACATCCCGCCGTATGAAAATTTGCAGGGTGAGTATAGGTGAATTAATTCGTCGCGGGGCGAATATAACTTTCTCACCTTTCCGGAGTCCCTCTCCTGCACTATAGCGTTCGACGCATAATTACCCGTCGTACCCGCACCGCTGTTTGTTAATTTATCTACGGCGTTATTTAACGACGCGACGGAAGCAGCGGAAGCGGAAAAGGACCCTAAACGTGCTTCGGATCGTCCACTATCGATTTTTTACCGACATATAATACCTTTTGTCGAAAGTTTGAAGTTCGGTTTTTTTTTTCATAGAGATTTTGAAGAAAGCAAAGCTACGTGAAAAGAATATAAAAAATATGAGAGACGAAAGAGCGTTATAATTTTACTGACACTTTATGGAAAGATTCTTTAGAAGGTATACGAAGAGTCTTTAAAATTAAACTTTATTTAAATCTATAAAATTATAAAAAATGATGCAAAGCGTTTTAAATTTGAGTTTTGATTAACATGGACTTAATTTTTTAACGATTTAATTTAAAAATCTCAAGATTTTTAACATTCTTATGATTACAAATTTGCAACGTTGAAATAATTATGAGTCATCTAATGTATAAATATTTATACTTTTTATGTTAATTTATTCATAGTAAGATTTATATCTATTACCGCTAATGTGACATTTAATATTGTTATGAAATTTCATCGACAGTTGAATTTCTGTCAGCAACTATAATCAAATTTAATATGATTCGTGCTAAATTGATTATAATTTTATTGTTAATTTATGATTGTAGAGAGATTGAAAATTCTCGCAAATTAAACTAGGTACAGAAAATTAAATTAGATACAGAAAAAAGACGATAAGATCTTTTTTTAAACTTGAATTTTGAATTCTTTAAATGGATTTTATCTGTTAATGATAATTAAATTTGAGAGAATTATCAAAAATTATCGAATCATCTTGCGATTAAAAATTCGCAATTGAAATAATGAATCATTCCGTGTGTAAAATATTTATATTTTCTACATTGTAATACTTGTATTAAGACTTCTTTATCTCCTGCCACTAGTAAAATTTAATATTTGTTACGAAATTTCGTCGATCGGCTTTCTATCCAGCCGGATTTCTATCAGCAACTACAATCAAATTCACCGTAATTCGCGATGAATTGATTTCGGCACTACGTGCGTGTGAACTGTGATTGACTTCTGGTTAAACGCGTATTCTGCAATATTACAAGCGTTAGGTATAAATGCTACAAATATTATTGACACGCAATTGGGCGAGCGGCGAGTCAGCGCGTTACACCGATAAAACGAATCATGTAATTGATAGAATTATTAGTGTCGCGTTGAGGTCTCTAATGATGCCGGGGCGTATCGCGGGTAACGAATACGTTTGCGTTAATGATTTTATTACTTGTTTTGGCACTTAACGAGCGACCCCCGTAAACAATTCGCGGTGAATATGACAACATTAATTCGTAAGAAATAAAAAAAATTAGATATCGCAATCTAAAGTGAAAATGTATTTGTATAATTTCAAAAACATTCCCCTTATTGCTTTATGTCGCATAAATCGTTTTCTTTTACTTTCTTTTAACAACAATGTACCACGTTTCTTTAATGTTTTCATAATAAACCGTGCTTCTTTAATATTTCGATCATAAACCGTGTTTCTCTTGAAACTTTTATTTTAAGATTTACAGAATTTTACAATTGAAATAATAATGGGATGACGCGACTCTCTCTCGTTGTTATAACAATATCAATAAAATTTTTTACCTATCGTCACGTCGAGATTATTTTCCACCTGGATATGTTACGGGAATCCTAATTATTGCAGATATAATTACAATAATTACTCTTTATTAGAACCTCTTTATCCAATATCGCTTGAACGTCCACGGTACACATACGTAATATACCTAATTAATAATGATAATTAAACGCGGATGAATCGTGCTATTTCATCCGGCGGAATGAAAGCTGCCTTTATTACAGAGGCTCCGGCGATTAACGATGCGATTATGATCGCGGCCGTCCGCGTTTTGAATGGCGTTCGGTGTAAACAAGTCTGCTCGACGAGCGCGCTCATGGCCGTGACTCCTTTCTCAATGCGGCCGATCCCCGGCGATCTCGCTATAAAGCGGAAAAACACATTAACGCGTCAAAACCCGTTTTAACTCGCGCGGTGTCAAGCGCACACGCGCCTGCCTCCTCCCTCGAGAGTGACCGGGGACGGCCCCCCCGGGGAAGGGGGGGACGCGCGTGCATCGAAAATATCCGCGTAAAACGTTTTCATGGGATATATTAAAAAATAATAAATTACATTAAATTTCAATCTCTCTAGGTCGAGGGCCGGTATTAATGATGGCGCGCGGTGTCAAACGCACGCACCGCGCCCGGCCGAATGCGTTGCGTTGCGCCGAATAAGATATACATTGCGAAAGTGTCGAAAATTTTACCCGCGTCATCCCGGCCCATCGTCCACCGGCGCGTGAAACACTCCGAAAACGAACAAAAAAAATATTTTCGAGTGTCGAGAACGTTGCCGTGAAATTATGCGCGGTCAAAGAGCGAGCGGATTCATCCCCTGTCCGTCTATAATCGCCGGAAGGTCGTACCCCTCGACGTTTCATTACCGTTCCATGCGAGACGAGATCGCACTTTCCAATAGTTCTCCGTTTAGAAATCACGATTTTAATTAATTTGCAGAGATAATTGGAAATGCGTATTTTATATTAAATATAAAATTACTTGTAACATATGACGCAATCTGTGATTTTTAAGTGCGTTATTCAGCTACTCTCGATTTTCAATGTAATGATTTTATTTCGAGTCCACTTTAGACGATCCATAATTCACGTCGGACTAACTCATGATGAAATATTATTTATAATTTTATGTGACATGTAAAATATGAAAAAAAAAGAATTTTTGAATAATTAGATTACATACGTGTGAAATAAAATATATTAAAATACATCAAAATATAAAATATACAAAAATTTATATATCAAACTCCAATGTTAATTTGCGTGCTAATTAGCATTAAATGAGAAATATAACAAAATATCTTAAGCAATAACTTTGGCAACTCACCTCTATATACTCGGCGCGAAATACTATCGCGCTTTATAATGATTCCGTATCCGGGGGCTTTTCGGGAAGAAGAAGCGTTCGAAAAGCGCAGTCGGGATTTACAATTGCCCGTAAGCGATAGCGACTTTTTAAACGGAAGTGGCTTTCGTTCCTGACGTTCGGCGGAACGTCTGCGAATTATCGAATATCCACGTCCCGCGGCATCAATCAGGGGCAGCGCGAAGTGTTGTATTCGTGTGAGCGAGCGCGGACCCCCCGAAGGTCCGTGGGGGTCCGTGATGGTGTCAAGTGCACACCATCACCGCGGCGGCGGCGGCGGCGGCGATGGCGGCGAATGAAAATTCGGAAAGCAGGTTTAGGTAGATCAATTCGCGCAACCCGGGGTCAACGATTCGCTCAAGGTAGAACGCGTATAATAAAGTGGCTAATGGGGCGGCGTAGCGGACGGGAAACAAGGGTGGGCGAGAGAGACTTTCGGGGGTGCCCGGGTGTGCGTTTGACGTTGGCCCGTTCAGCGGCTCCTTAACGCGGGAAAGTAACGGCTTTCCTCTTCCCCGATTACATATACTGGCGCTCTGATGTACAAGATACGCCGTTTTCGTAAAACAATCCTCTCTGGTGCTCACGCGGGGATGTAAGTGCGCCGGCAGAATTCCACGTAAATGGACATTGCACCGTTCATTCGCAGTTCAAACTACTTGTCGCAAATGAGCGAAGATAAAGTATTAATTTGATCCGCAAAATTTAATTAACCGGTTAATCTAGCATGATTAAAACAATTTTTACTAACTGAAGGATTAATTTATGGAGATCCTAAAAATTGTTTGCTTATTATAATCGTGTAGATTCGATTGTTTGAATTATGCAATAAGCTATCGCAATGAATTATGTCGAGTCCGAAATAACATCACAAAGCTACGATAAAAATGATATCGCGATTATCAGATATATCAAGTCATTGTCGATTATGTTAAACCAACTGATTATACTTAATTAAAGTTGCGAATAAAATACTTTATTTTAGATCATTTGCGACAAGTAGTATGAACTGCAAACGGTCCAAATGCAATATCCATTGGGATTTTTCCGGCGCATTTACATCCCCGCGTGAGCACCAGAGAGGATTATTTTACGAAAACGATATTATCTTTGTACGAAAGTGTTAAAGTTGAATTACCCAATCTCTGGTTCTATTCGTATCTGATTATTCATGATAGAATTATGTTTATGATTTTGACACAAAAACGTGATACATGATACAAAAAATATTTGAAGAATTTAATTCTGGTTTTTATTACAAACTGATAATGGGTTGCATTTGCAGGTGAAGATCTGGTTTCAAAATCGGCGCATGAAGTGGCGGAACAGCAAGGAGCGGGAGCTGCTGGCGACCGGCGGCTCGCGCGAGCAGACGCTACCGAACAAGAACAATCCCAATCCGGATCTGAGCGACGCGGACGGGGACCGGCCGAGAATGGACCTGAGCGACGTGAGCCCGCTCACGAGCCCGCAAAGGCCCGAGGAGCAAACGGAGAACGAGGAGGACGAGGAGATCAATGTCACGTGATAAAGCTCACCGCTAAACCCAGCATCCCCCGTTTGGCCTCCGACGACAAGTGATGACAATTTTTTAAATCCGTGAACCAAACAGGCTATAGCGACCGGACCAAAAGAGAAACAAATTTAAGCGAAACGCATTTGACGGGCACTTGGAAGGATCGTGAAAATTAATTTAATAAATAAACAAATAAACAGAGATTGCTTTCGTACGTCATTGCGGATGCAATTCTAATATAAATTTTACCTTCGGTGTGAAGAATATGTATTTTTTTTTCTCTCGAGAAATCTCTGGATTATGCGTGTAACGCGATCTACTTTATGTCGAGAAGCGCACGAGATAATATTGTTAAGCAGATCCTGAAGTGACGGCTTATTGTTATCATTTTGCATTTTTCAACTGGCTGATCTTTATTGATGGCTATATATATTCACAGATAATTGGGCTATAACAGGGTGTCCTAGATTTATTGTGCGAGGAGAATGTATTAAACACGAGTTTCACATGATGTTTCGTATCACTCACAATTTTCAACGACGATCTTCAATTGTTTAGCGATCATCGATTTGTCCTCAATATATTTCCCCTTCCTTTTTCAAGTTACACACGACTTGTGACAGTTGTGGCTTTGTTATTCAATGACAGCAAACACATGTCGTCGCAAACTGATCCCGAGCAAAAAGAAAATAACGAATGACGGGCGCAGGATAAGAATGATGTATTATATTGTAATTAGCGCGATGGATGTACTTTCGAGGAGTCTTCTATAAGCCATTGTGTAAGGTTGTACTAGATGTAACGTTACAATTCTGGAAATATGTACCTAAGTCTACTCATAATGCGGCCGCGCGGCCAGATCCAAATGTAATTACATTCATTGTGATTCAATATAATCTATGTAATATATTGAAATAAAAATGTCTATGCTAAGCGATTTACGCTTGTAATATCAACACATATCAACGAAAGTTTCAGGTTTAACTCTGTTTCATCCCAAAGGTAGTTAATTAATATTAATGATTCCCATTTTTCTAAGCTTTCTTGCAAATTCGTGATAAGAGTTAAAGATATCAATTCGTCACGTAAGAATTTATAATATATTTTTCAATCAATAAGACTTTCAAAATACAAAGTATGGTACTTCATCTATCGATGAAATTATTTTTAACACAAGTAAACAAGAGTAGCTTTGAATTAATAGATTGGTAATACATTGCAAAATCAGAACCCAAATCAATCTATTGTATTGAGATAAAGCTCAAAATGTTTATTAACGGAAAATAAATAAATAATATTTATTACTATTTAATATTATTTATTTTCAGTTTTCGAACATTTATTGTAATTAAAAATTGAAAATGTTACTTTTTCATTTTTTATTAATTAACTAAACATTTTGAGCTGTATTTCAACAGTAGGTTCATATAAACGTATGTCCGCAAAGCCACTTTTTATTCATGTTTGATAGGGGAGCTCGCCCTCCGAAGTTTGTTACCTTATTTTAGTTACACTCATATTTTTTAAATGTATATTTTATCGTATGTTTATTTTGAAACAGCAGTCGTGGCACATAGAATTGAGTCTGCTTTTCTGAACCGAAGATCGGGGATCTGATCAGACATCGGATTTTTATTCAATCGTTGTCTCGGAAGACACTGGCACATTACGGAGAACAGATCCTGCCCTCTCATATCTGATATATCTAAAAATTCCTCTAGACTGCTCGAAACCGGCGTTAAAATTGTAATTCTATATATATCAGTGGAAATTATAAATGGCGCAGAAGTACAGTTGAGAGATCATCACATTCTGACAAGACTCGAAGAGGAAGGTATGTTTATATAGTAATTTATATAGTAAATATGTGTGTGTGCGTTTATTATACATTTACATATTTATATACTTACATACTTAAGTAAATTTTAAATAAAATAAAGATTCGCAGTCCGTAGTCAGACTATGTTTGAAGTTAAACAAAAATTGGAGGAAATATGCAAAATCATTGCAGAGATTATAAAGATTCTCTTTGGCGAGAAACTGCTTCACAACGGAGCCGAATGGCTCACAAGCTCGTCCTCCCAGATTCCGTGCTCTGCGAGATTTGAAATGCATATAGCAGTTGTATCGTCGAATCGCTATATCTGCATCGAGTCACCGCGTTCGTTGCCGTCGCGCATCCCTATGACAAACGAATTATTTTTGCATAAATGAATCTATGTACATCTCTTACAATATCAGAAAGTTGCAATATATATTTCTATAATTGAGAATAAATCTCTATGTTGAGCCAGATCTTCACCAAATCTTGGAGATCTCGCCCTGAGCAGGATGATTGAGCGGATAGGATGCAAGAATCACACAACTTAATTTCCGATAAGAAATAGAAAGACAATAGCGACTTGTATATATCTCATTTAATTCTAAATGTCAAAATTGAATCATACATATTGTAATGATCAAATACGATACATTATATTTATAAATATAATTAAACGTATAACGCAAATCTGATTAAAAATCCAATTTTCACATTTAAGATTAAATGAAATGAATAAAGATCACTTATCATCTTTCTATTTTTGATATCGTAAGAATATAGATACTTTTATGCACAAATACAGTTCGTCATAGGAATTTGCTTCTGAACTAATTTCATATTTCTGTCCATTCTGTCGTGCTTTCAACTGATTCCGCTTGGAACCACTTTAATTGTTTTGAACTTGTGGCTTTGACCATTCGACACTCAAAATGAGATGATCGTAACCGTAACCGTCCAGCGTGGCTATCGCTCTCGCGGCATCCGCTCTGTGCTTAAAATGCACATAGGCAAAGCCTTTGCACAAATTTGAAAGTTTCTCTTTGGCGAGAAACTGCTTCACCACGGAGCCGAATGGCTTCACAAGCTCGTCCAGATCCGCATCTGTCGTGCTCTGCGAGAGATTCGAGATGCGTATAGCGGTCGTGTCGTCGCGTCGCTGCATCTGCATCGAATCACCGCGCTTGTTGCCGCCGTCGCGCATACCGGGCGGCACATACTTCCCGCCCTGCGGTTTAAGTTCCGCCATTGCACTTCCGGGTATTCCCGTACTAACGAGAGGTTTTTTGTCATCTGGTACTTTTCCTGTAAGATAGAATTTTGTTATTTTACAAAAATAAATTACGTAATATCTGATATCATTTATATTTGTATAATTGAATTCTTTGTTTGTAGTTATATCAATTGCATTTCTGCAACGTATAACTTACCACCGGCGAGAACAGTGTCCTTGTACGGGCACTTGGACGTCCAGTGATCGCCGTTGCAGTTACGGCACTTGACGACACCCTTGTCGCCCATGCTTTTCAATTTGTCCAGGGAGTCTTCCTCCACTTTGTTCTCCTCCTCCTTGCTGGATATGAATTGCATGAAGACATCCTCACCACCGACAGTGGTGGCTGGATTGGGCCCCGGCCTGTCGTCAGCGGAATCGCCGAACTTGGTCCAATTTTTACGCGCCGCGATCGTTTTCGACACTATGCGCCGCTCTATCTTATAAACGCGTACAACCTTGACTCTCTTGTTGTCCTGATTGTACTTGTACTCGGTCTGAATTTTGAAACCGTTCTCGTAGACTTCCGAAGGCGCGGGTAACGCTCCTCCCTCTTCTTCAACTTCGTCAGCCCAACTGGACTTGACCTCATTCTGTGCCACTGGCATCTCTGCAAGTTGTACAATATTATGCAACACTTAGATATGCACAAACACTAGTTTTAAAGCGAATAAAGATATGCGCAGTATGTGCAAACATCAAGTTAGAATATTAAGGTAATTATTTCCCTCCATATACTATATTTGAATTTATGTTTGTTCAGTTTATTTATCTGTACAATTATAAAGTTTAGTTTAAAACCCTCTGCAGATATCTATAATTCCTATCTGAATTTAGAATGGAATTTTGTTTATAATTTCATGTAAGTAAAAAAATATACATTTGAAGAATAAATAAATATAAAAACAACACATATATAATACACAGTACATAAAATTATAAATAGAATTGTATTCCAAGATCTGATAATGAATTGTAGAGTATTTAAAGTGATCTCAAGAACAGCTGCGTTTAGCCGAAAAAGCAACTTTGCAACTGTAGTAAGATTCTTTAATATGATTGGTTCTTGCTCTTAGTTTTTTACTCTATCATCTAAATAAATCAATCATCAAGAATCTTACAACAATTGCAGAGATGCTTGTTCTACTGAATGCAATAATTAAATGTCCAAATCCATTTATCTTAAAAATTTCATGATATTTTGAAATTAAATATACATAATATAATTGATGTTTTTCACATTTAGTTGCATTGATATAAAACCTAAATTATACTTAACCCGTTAAAGATTTGTCAGTCATCTTATTTTTTTATAATAAATAAAACGCTATTAGAAGCCAGAAAATGTACACAAATGCTGAAACAAATTAGATACAAAATTATACGATACTCCATCTCTTTTCAGCATATTAATACTATAGCAGATGTTTCTGTATACAGGCTAAGTAAATCTAAATTATGATTTAATGATTAAAAATTTTGGGTAATAATATTCACAAAAATTAATAAAAGTATTTTCATTATTAAATATAGTTGTTAAATCAATATTCATATGATACGTAAAATTGTAATAAACAAATTGTAAAACATGTGAATTTTGTAATATAGCAACCCTAACTTATATCCTACGTTACATTAGCTGCATTAACACATGTCTTGGGTGTTTCGCTGCAATCCTAGTACTGTACCATCCAATTTTTTGAAAGTTTGCGAAAGGAACAGGGAAAGTAATTTAGAAAGAAAGAGAAGCATAAAATTGAGATAAGAGTAGAAGCTAAATAAGGGATTCAAGAAGAAAAGTGAAATTACAGATTTAAATTTGTAAAAGGCGTCATGTAACATTGAAGAGAGATTGAATGCTCAAAGCCACTCGGTGGTGTAACATCAAACTCCCCCCCCCCCCGTATTAGCAATTAAAAAATCCCCAAAATCGTGACTTATTTTATTTCAACAATTTTCACTGAGCGAGCCCGTGCAGAATCAACGAAGAAGTCGAGATGAAAGAAGCACATGTTACACTACCATCGACACAGCCAAACTCTTGTCTGTAAACTCTCGTGACATGTTCGGAAAGTATAAAGATCACGAAAATGCCGTATTAAAGGCATAAAAATCGTCATTGAATGTCTTACCGTAGGAATTAGACAGCTGGACGTAGGCAAATTATTCAGATCGGAGCACGGATTACAACGAAACAAAGTGCAAATTGCCGACAAGACATTTAGACATCCATGTGGCGTGGACAATCAAAATGGAGGCAATGGAGGCATCGTGCTCTGCCGTCACTCCGTTGATCGTGATGCCGCCATAGATCGTGGAACCGCGAAGGCCGGTAACACATGAAGTGCAACCATGCGAGCAATAAGAGCCGGCAGGTGGAGACCTCTATCGGAAATGAATTTTTCTTATTCCAAATTACGGCTAAAATATTGATTGAAATCGTAATATTATAAATGCGATGTTCGTAATCAGGAGAATTGCCTGGCATCTTTTTGCAAAGCGATTTTTTGGGGAAAAAATAAGCAAAATAAAATTTCATTCTGTCTACACTACCGTGCACTTATAGGTGTAAATAATCTTATTTCAAGAACCAAATTGTCCAAATTGTAAAATCCAAACTCTGTAGAAGGTGGTTTGGCAGCTTCGTAAAACATGGGCCAAGGAAAGGCTCGTTGCAGAATATCCATGAGACAAAATATGACATAAAGTATAGATATATACATACATAATGTATCTGCACCGTAAATGCATAAATGCATATAATCACATAGGCATAAAGAAAATTGTCCAATCATATTTCTGTTACAAGAACGAAACGGTAATTAAATTAAATGTTATAAAAAAATAATTATAACTGGTCAACATATTTTGGCCAAACATAGTTTATTCGAATGCGATGTGCACAGCAGGATGTGTGGCTGAAGTGTTCCGTGACCGAGTGCTCGAGAGAGAGAGCATCGAGACCAATCGAGACGCGACGCTCGTTGCCCGGTGGTGACGGTGATGTTGGCGGCACTGCCGGCCACCGCGAGGTCGTAATGGCGATTTCTAGCGCGTTGTCCGGTCCGCCGTGAGTGAGTGAATAATGCACCACGAAGCAGCGCCTCGTTTTTCGGCTGTACGGTGCGACAATCGAGCGATCGGACGGTACGTGCACGCTACGTTTTAACGGCGTAACTTTGACGGAACCGCCGACGATCGAGCGTCCCTCGCGAGGATGGACCAGGCACCCGCAGGTGAGCACGCCGATTCAGCCGCATAGGCGCGCGCTCTCTCTTTCTCTCTCTCTCTCTCTCTCTCTCTCTTTCTCTCTCGCACACGTTTCTTCTCTCGCGCACCTCGCCCCTCGCTCTCGCCCGCGAGAGCCGATACTTAATTAATTAACCCACGCATTCCGTCCCCACGCATTAACTACGAAAACACAATGCGAATCTTTTGCTTGCACACCTTGCCGTTTTGTTTGGCCTATCGTCGAGCGACTTTCTATGGGAGCAGAATAGTCAAATAATGCTCTTTCAAGTCATTGGTGTCCGGAGTTCATTAGGTTATTTATTTGTAAAAATCTACACGTCATTCAAACGTAGGTAATAAAGATAATAAAGGATTTTTACGGATAATTAATATAACGTTCGCTATTAATTTTACAGATATATACCTATATGGATTTTATTATAATGAATTCTTACTTTACTGAAGTTAATTTTTGTTATTTTTACAATAATTAGAATAATGTATATATAATTGTTTTATTTATACTACTTTTTATTTATACATTACTTTTTGTTTAGTTTTAATTTCAAGTATCTTCCAATGTTATCTATAACTAGAGTCTAGTTATTAGATTATAGATTCTAATTAGTTAAATGTTAATTTTGATCTGATTCTTGTCGTTCTTTTCACTTATATTATTCAGACACAGAATTACGGAACATCATAGACAAACTGGCGCAGTTTGTTGCTCGCAATGGGCCAGAATTCGAGCAGATGACAAAAAACAAGCAGAAGGACAACCCGAAGTTCGGTTTCCTGTTTGGGGGGGAGCACTTCAACTACTATCAGTACAAAGTGACTACAGAGCAAGCCAGTAAGTGGGACACATATCCCATTAGCAGCTACTGCGATTAAGAAGCATAAAAAAGCAGACCATGCTTTATTCAACCAGCAAAGGAATGACTTTGAAAAAGCGATACAGAGTCTGATTCTTCATCATTGCAAATATACAAAAAAAAAAAACAGTTATCCGTCGAATAGGAAACACTCTTCCTCTCAAGATTTTTGGGATTGCTATTTGTTAAGCGGAACACTTTTACACTAAAGACACCTTGCATTCCTTGGCCATGGCGATTTTGAGAAGAACGTAGTTTTAAGATTCTTGCTGGAGTTTATCTAACGTGAAAAATACATTGTCGCTGTATTGCTTCGATATGTGTGGGAAATACGACCCACCGTCCAAAAATAGCGTGCCCTGTAATATATCTTAGTACTGTAAAAATGCCAAAAAAAAGAAAAAAAAAAGAAAAGAAAAAAAAAGACTATAGTGCTCCCAAAAGATTTGCCGAATTTTCTGATACTATACTTCTCTCGTGTAAATGCCCAAGAATTTTCTTATATGCACCGATACAAGATAAGACTTCGCAGAAAAAAAAAACAGAATCGAACTATTTGTATACAAATTTTTCAAATATCGATTGACAAGGACTCAGCATCTCACAATAATCCACCGTCATTCGTTTACAGTTTTAAAGCAAAAAGGAATAAATCCAATGCAAAATGCAGACCCACGTTTAAACGTTTCGCAGCAGCAGCAAACAGCCGCAAACGCCGTCTCGCAGCCACTGAATAACGTCAATCTTGCGTCCGGTCTGAGTACGCAAAACAATGGAATAAATCCGGTAGTCGGGATTGGACCCCAGGTCGGAAGCCAGGGCGGTCCCGTTTTGCCTGGGCAGATCGGAGGACCGGGAAATGCAGGACCGCCGATTGGACCGGTTTCCGGCGCCATGGGAGGTGTGAATCCGCCGATCGCCGGTGTCGCGCAAGCGGTTAACATCGCGGGCCCGCCCGCGTGGCTGCAGAATGAGTTGGCGAATCTACAGTCGCAGCAGACGACGTTGCAGGAGCAAGTGAGACAGTCTGAACAGAACCTGGCTGCGCAGCATGCTGCGTTAATGGCACAACAGCAGGGAAGGGTAGAGGATGCTGTGAGGCAGGCACAGGAACAGGCTCTGCAAAATAGCGCGCAAAACACAAACACAGACTTGGCTGCATTTGACACGGTCCTACAACCGATCATCGATAGCTGCACGAAGGATAGCATAAGCGCAGGAAAGGCCTGGATACTTCAGCATTCGCTTACGTCGCAGAGTAATCAAGTTGTCGCAGATCATTTGCTGAAAAGGTATGCTTTAACATACATTTTTCATTATTTATGTGCGAAAAATATATTCGTTTTTTAATCCTCATCTAAATATTCTTTTCCAGAGTAATTCAGGGGACAACCTTCAGCCATAAGTTACATATTATTTATCTGGTGAATGACGTATTACATCATTGGTTAGTATAAACGTCCATATGTGATACATATCACATATGTATCATATATAGCACAAATTAATTGCAATCTGATCATAATAATCAAAATGGATTATTATTTTTAAATATTCAAAGTTATAATAAATTCTCAAAATAATTTCAATATAATGCTTACGACTGGTAGTTTTTTTTTTTATTTTTTTAAATAGTTATATTTATTTATATTTATAATTTTATAACATCAAATGAACAAAATGGATCATTTTTATTAAATATTCATAATTATAATCAATTCTCAAAAATAATTCCAATATAATTCTTATGACCGCTAGTTTTTTTTATTTTTTAAACATTTATATCTACAATTTTATATCAAACGATATTTCATAAACTAAAATGCCATATCACTAACTATGCACGAGATATATAATTGGATACTTCCTCAGTGCGAGAAAAAAGTCTATGGATCTTCGCAAAGCAATGGAAAGTGTTGTTGTCCCCATGTTCTGTAACACTTCACTAGCAGCATCGGAAGAGCAGCTCAATAAGTTAAATAAACTGTTGAGTTTGTGGGAATCAAAGAATAATTACTTTGACGAGGGCATCATAGATAAGTTGAAACAACCGAGCACATCCTGGTCAGAATACCAGGCTAATTTGGTAGCGCAATACGCCACGGCGATTACTCCTATTACAGCATCGACCAAACAGACATTCGATAATTATCAAGCGCAGCATCAAGCATTTGTTACTCACGCACTCAGACAGATCCAGAATATCGAACAGCAAAAGATGGCGATAGATCAGCAATTGAAAGCTCCGCCACCGCCGCCGCCGCCACCGCCTCAAATGGTAGTGCCATTTTTTCCCCTTTAAATATTTATATTTATGCTCGGCTCAGGCCTATTATACGTTCATTGTAAATGTTTATTATTTTTATATTTACGAAAACTTTTATTTGTGCAGAGTCAACAAAGTATATCAATACCGCCTAGTCATTCAGGTCCTCCAAACACGATGGGTACAGATGTGAATTTCAGTCAACCACCACCAGGATGGGGTGTCCCACCTTCGAACGAACCGCCGCCGTTTAGCAACGTTCCTCTGCCTGACTTCTCAAAACCACCGCCGGGTTTTGGACCACCTCCTGTTATTCACGAGCCCTCTGTTGAGGATTTAATGCCTAGTATGCCTTATTTCGAGCTTCCAGCTGGTTTGATGGTACCCCTAATAAAGCTGGAAGATGGTGAATACAAGCCGTTGGACCCAGATGCGATAAGACTTCCACCCCCAGCTCCGCCGAGTGACCGTTTAGTTGCAGCTGTAGAAGCATTTTATGCACCACCAAATCATGATTCTCCTAGAGATAGGTAAATACGAAAATTTTGTACATGTATAATAAGAAAAGAATGTAATAAAAATGAAAAGATATAAAAATATATGAATCGTTATACTTTTGTATATAGTTACTCTATGAATATATCATTTTCGATTTATATTACAGTGATGGATGGGAAAAATTAGGATTATATGAATACTACAAGGCGAAAAATGCCGCCCGCAAGCGTAAAGAAGAGGATATAACCGCTGGCATTAGGCAGAGATCGAAATCTCCATCGCCAATTTTACGACCGAGATCTAAGAGCCCTAGTCCTCCAAAGAAACGCTACCGGAGTAAGTCACGCAGCAGATCACGTTCCCGGTCGCGAGGCAGAAGTAGATCGAGATCGCCCGCGACCAATCACAGACGCAACAGTCGCAACAGCAATCACGTTAATCGAAGCCGAAGGAGAAGAAATAGTAATAAAGAACGCAGTCCCGATAGGAGAATGGATAGGCAGGATAGAAGTCCAACTCCTCCCAGTTTTCTGTAAGTGTTAACTTCTGTAACGTAGAATGAAATATACTAATTCCGGAAACAGATTACTATCCGAATCTCGTAACGCCTCCACTCAATTTTCAACTCTCCAATCAATATTTCACGAAACTGAGGCATATACGAGATAAAGGTCGCGGATTGAACTTGGGACTCGCTGACTGCGAACCGATCGCTCTCACACAGAGCTATGCGTTATCTTATTAACTTCTGCAATGTTGTCGTTTTCACGTCTTGTTTGTCTCTTTTTAGCTGGTTCCACATTAGTTGCATCGCAGCGTCGCAAACGTTGTGATCCGGTAGAGATCCAGTCAACGTTAAGCTAGCTCGACGCTGATTGGATCACAACGTTTGCGACGGTGCGATGCAACTAATGTGGAACCAGCTTTTTGCAACAATGAATCGTAATCTTCGAATGTATCTTTTCTTTGTATATCCTCATTTTCTATTTTCCAGCAATAATTGTCTTATTATAGACAATTTCGTTTTGTATTACTTTCAGTGGTTCCACTTATAGCAAAGCACCGCAAGAGATTAGCCTGGACGAGAGTAATAAAGGGCATCAATTGCTCAAGAAAATGGGCTGGAGCGGTGCTGGTCTCGGAGCCAACGAGCAAGGCATTGAGGCGCCAATTTCAGGAGGCGAGATTCGGGATAAGAACGATCAATACAAAGGAGTCGGTATCAATCTGAACGATCCGTACGAGACCTTCCGAAAAAACAAAGGCCAAGCGTTCATCACCAGAATGAAGGCTAGGGCGGAGGAACGAGCTGAGGAGAGAGGGGAACGTGATTGAACACCATTAATAGATTGCCGAATGTTTACGATACTTTGTGAATGGGACGAGTATCTGGCACGAGATATCATCAGGAACGATATCTCGTTCTACATTAGGAATCTATTCACAGTTCTAAAAAAAAAGGTATGCTATCGCCTATGAGGGTTGATTTTAAAGATCAACGTACTTTTTTGACTTTGAAACAGTTGTCTTTCAATTCTGAATATACACATATACACACGTCGTCGATTTTAGACTATTGCAGGTGAACGCTGATTATTTTACATTGAAATCGCACTGATTGTTTTTTTATCAGGAGCTATCTTAATCACATTCTTACAATTAAGCGACGATTAATTAATATTGTGTGAGATTAAATTGTACATTTTTAAGTAAAATTATAAACATGATTAGCATTTGTTTCAAGTTTAATGTATGAGCTAAAAAAAAAATGAAGCAAATACTAAATCTTGTTACAAGTTCGAATGAAAGATTAATCGGATTTATAATTGCATAATCTTATATTGGAAGTATTTAAAACAATTTACAAAAGCGCGCAATCAACGTGCTGCCGGCAGAAAAATCTTCCTATTTAATATATTAATTATATTCCACACATGATAGTGATTAAATTTTTTCCATTGATCATCCATTATTGAGATGATAGGGACGATACGCGACTCATAGCATGTATAGAAGTACAATTCGTTTTGTGCCGTAAAATAACATGGGCGTAAGATACGCGTGAGAAGTAAGAATATTTGTATTTAGTAAGTTAACAAATGATTATATTGGATACACACTGAACGATAGCTCAAGAATAAAAACTGTACATTTATTACGAAAGTGAATGCGCTACCGTCACTATTTCCTCTGTTTCCTCTTCCTGAATACTAAGTATATTCGAACCATGAGAGAGAAGAGAAAACATTTGAAATCAGTTAATCCCAAGATCAAATTTTATCATATGATTTTTATCAAAAATCACTAGAACGCATCACTTGCTATTATTTTCTTTTGTCAATCAACCAGATACGTATAAAATAATTTTATGTTTAAAATCGCATTTTAAACTTCATATAATTTATAATTCGTTTTAGGTTTCATGATAGAGTTCTCTCTAATTTTATATGCCGTACATTAAGTGGAATTCTATCCTGAATTCTAACCCAAATTGTAGATCGTCCAAAGTGAAACTTATATATAGCTCGTTTCTTTTGTTACATTCTCGCAGTTTTATAATTCGTCCTCATGTTTCTTCATGCTGTTAAAATATGCAAGAGGCTTTTGACTCTCGCGCCAGTAAAATCACAGACATCGCGATAATTAAGTTTTACATATGAGAATTCTCTTTTAGATAAAGTAAGATAAGGCGGAGCGAGACAAAACTGTTCTAATTAAAAGGAGAATATCACGCGTCGTAATAGAGCGTTCTTCGACCGCTCGTCGGCTCGTAGTAGGCGTCCCATTATCGCGCGTCACGTGCGTGCACGAGTCTCTAAAAGAATGGAAGAAAAAACGGAGAGGAGCCTCGTTTAAAACTGGCTGCGAACGGCTCGGCGAGTGACCGGGTACAAGTTAATCGCGAGTCGCCTTCTTGAACTCCCCCAGCGGCAGTCTGATATCGAAACCGACTAAATCCAACGGCGAACCGGTTTTCCCGTGACGATAGTGACGTGCGGGGCCCCGGCCGTCACGTCGAGACGAGAGACGTAAACAAAGCCGGATGATCGGCCGGCCATTACGCGCCGCTGTCACAACACCCGCGAATTCTTTTTCGACGTCGTATATATCGCGAGATATACGCGTGATCTCTCTTGTACGCGAAAGTTTCGCAGATTGCGCAGAATCTTAACCCGCTGCCCTGGCGGGCTTATCACGCGAAGCAAAAATAGATCTTTCGCGCGTAAAACCGATGATGATATATCACATTTTCGCGATGGAAAAATTGTAACACTGAAAAAGATATTGGTTTATCAGAGAAACGTACGTGTGTATAAAAATTGTGTGGGTGTATTTGTGTGTGTGGTGGGGGGGGGGAGGGGGGAGGGTGTGCTCGCGTGCAGGATGTATAAAAAATCAGCTCTATAAAATGAAGCTAATGATAATATTTAATTAATTAGTAGATATTTCTTTTCAAATTGTATCACGGCGCTTAAATTAACAGTGCTGATAAGTTGATATGTAAATATAAAATTACCTTATGAGTTATATATTTAGGACCTAATTTTTTATATATCCTGTATAGGTATATATATATATATAAATTTTTTTTTTATATATGTATATAAAAATATTTTATACACGCATAAAAGGAAAATATCTCCGGTTTTAACGGTCAAACTATATGCCAGTATGTTTTAGATACAAAAGGAAAGAGAGATAAAAATGTTACATAAAATCCGCACAGAAGCTTTAAAAGTTATATAATTGAAAAAGTATAGAATATTTGAAAAACAATAACAATAGTGTTTTTGTTCTATGTGATTCAGGCTACGATATTTCCACTATTAATTCATTGCAAAATATTGGCTAATTCTTGTGTTAACATTTTTTTCGTTTTTTTAAATCATGGAACATACTGGGAACAGTCGTTAAACTTGAGAAAACCTGTATATAAAAGAGAGAATGTGACTTTGAATTCGAAGTCAATTTTCTTACAAGGCGAATTTGATCGAAAATCTTTTTCTCTGCTGCAACTTTTCAATCTTTGACAGCAAACGCTGTTGTTTGAAATTAAGCCCCGAGTTAAAGTTACTCGAGACTAGCTGAAAGTAGATTTTATCTGTTTATATAGATTACACAACTTTGATACACGCTATAACCATGCAGTACTAAAATATATGGTCTGTCATATGAGATATCGGATATTCTATCTCGCTACAGATAGTCCGTTCAGTTAAGGAGAGTGGGCTTTAAAACGTAATGATACGTTCTGTCTGACTCTATCGTATTTCACAACTTAATCCCCAATGTCGCTGACATTGCTGAAAATTTGATAAAAGAAATAAAAAGAAACGATTTAATAATATGAGAATATATATCTACAATAATTTTCTGATTATGTGAAAGATTTCATTTTTAAGACACGTGATATACGAGAGTGATCGCGCACACGTTCTTGTGTGACTAATCGTGCACGATCACGAGGGTGTAGGAAGTCGGTAATTATTCTCTCGTAGAGTCAAGGATTCGCGGAAGGCATTTCGTTTCATGAAACCGATATTAGCACGTGCCGACGGCGACTGGGCGTATCGACGTCTCTCACCCGCGTCCGCGTATGTATTAATAACGTACTCGGTGTACGTGCGCGAACGTGCCGGCCGGTTCTCAACGTGATTGATACAATTGACCGAACCGCGGGGAAAGAGGAGACGCGGCCGCGGGAGCGGTCACGTTCGGGCATCGGGTCGCGCGTGATCCGGGCCGCCGCGGGGAATTCCGGAGTCCCGAAACGCGAAAACGAGAAGATCGCGCGAACGTAAGCCGACGATCTGTATCGGAAACTCACGTTTCCATTGATCGCGTTATCGCGCGCGCGTTATCGCAGGGGTCCGCTCCGCGTTTCGTGAGAAACGCATACGCGATACGAGATGCGGTGCGTGCGGTGCGTGCGATTACGCGGCGCGATACGTGCGGATGCGTGCGTGCAGAGTATACGTGCGTGCGCCCGTGCGACCGTTGCGGCACGTTCGGGGCAAACGTGACGCCGGGCACGAAAAGAAATACGCCCGGCGGGCGCCGATAAGAAGCCGATTACGTCGACGGTTGTTTGGCCGGCGCGGCGGATGCGCGCCGATGGACGGTTAGGCATTATTCCTGGAACGTCGTGGCTTCGTGGGCTCTCCGTGGCCGCTCGCGCTGTCGTTCACAGAAGCGCGGGATAAAAATCGCAGCGTCGCCAGAAGAACGCTCTACCGAGAAGCGCTACTCGAGGAAAAAAAAAAAAGAAACGAGCCTGATAATTTTAAGGAGATACTTTTAGACGTGACACTTTTTTCCCTCCGCGTACGTGTGAATCGTTTTTTAATTAATCTCTTCCTATCAGCTCGTCAGGGAATATTGTCGCGGCTATTTTTATTCAAGAATTTTTACGCTTTAAACGTTAGACCAAGAAAATTGTGAATATGGTCTCGCTAGGGAAGGAAAAGTCCGTACGGGATAGTTCTTGGGCGGTACAACGCAAATTGACATTTCTGAAAGGGAGTTCAAACTGCTCTCCCTCTGACCTTTCGGCGCGCATCATTAATGAAGCAGACATCTAATTTTATGGCGCGTGTTATAATACACGGCGGCAATCGTGCTGTGTTTTATCGTTGGCTATTTATGGCCGCGCGGAATACGGTTTCTCACGGAGAGCTAATCTTTGCGACCTCTAAGGCGAATGTAGCCTGCATAACAACGCTGTATAAACAACAGCTCTATATGCAGCAACAACTCTTACACATATTTTTTTTTAATTAATAGATATGGGACGATTTTTTTTTTGTAAATACGTGCAAGGAATTTTTTCAGATGAAAGTTTTACTGCTACTATATTTCATTAAAAAATGTCCAACAAATTTTAGTCTCACAATCAATTATTCGTTCTCGAGGAGCACTTTATCGCAAACTTGTTCTTTTAATATATGCGTGCGTATATTCTTTTTATTACAGTATTATGAGGAATTTTAAAAAATTCGGCGGCGTAAAAACGAGGCGTACAATTTCGACTCGCCGTTTATTGCGGGGATTAGAAGTATTTTTTTTGTTTAGGCGTGGCATTGAGTGGCAGCTGCCGTCGTTTGTCAGATAAGTGAACACGCGCCAGTAGATATCACCTACACGCGGCGACCGCGCTATACCTACTTTCGAAAACTAAATCGCATTCTACCACGAGCGACCTCGTACTGTGGCTGTCTCGTAAGAACCGGATCTCGTAGGTACTCCAGACGCGTATTTAGGGCGGAAGTGCAAGTCTGGCGACTTTTAACTGGTGGTCACGGCTCTGCCGTTCGATTCCTTTTACGGACTGCAGCCACGTCGAGAGCACGCGCGAGATAATCTATTCATGAAATGAACGTTCCACATTGCTTATTCTTCTCATCGCGACCATACTAATTCATTCAAAATTTAGCGAAACATTAAGGAAGCTCGGGGAAGCGTAAATTTCGTTTTGCAAAAAATGATATTTCGCTGAATTTATATGAGCCGAACTAGAATGCGTAAGTTAAAAAGTTGTTGTGAAACGTGAATAGAGAGAAGCGCGCAAAGGCCCTTTTAAGAATTTTTTAATATAATACTTAATCGATGATATATAATAACAAATAATAATTATGTAAAAAAAAGATTGTAGAATTTAACAACAGTTAACATGTAAGTCGACAAATGCATGTAAAAAGCAAGATAATAACGATATTATTGTCCTGAATCTTGAAGCCTAAATGAAAAATCTGAGAATTTATAAAAAAATTTACGTAACAGTAAAAGAATTATATGACAGACTAACAGAGTGAAACAAGAAATAAGGCAGAGAAGGGTGGCAAATCGAGAATAGCAAAAAGAGGAAAGCTAACAAGACCGAATGAGGCAGTGAATTAAAATATTATACAGCAATTCAGAAGGTGAAAAGGAGGAGAATAACTTTTATAAATTTTAGAAAGCGAAACGGTATCTTTAGATAAACATAGATAAACGTATATCGTTTATCTGCATCTCACTGCTTACTCATTGCTAATGCTGCTCCGTTTTGTGCCGCATGTCTTGCACTTAATTGCAGCTACTCTAGCCAGAAACTACCGCAGTTATTGTCGCCGTTAATTGCGATAATCGTCGTTAATTGTGCGACCTGGACGTCTTTTACGACG